AAAAAAAATTTTTTTTTTTTTTTTTTTTTTTTTCTCTTCTTCTTCTTCTTCTTCTTCTTCTTCTTCACTAAAAATAACAGTAATGCAATAACTGGCATGGTTAGCCTGCCTTATTATTATGTTTTGTGTGCAGGCTGGTCAGTCCTCCACTGTGATTGAGAACATCCACACCATCATCGCCGCTGCTGCCGTCAAGTTCAACTTTGACCAGCTCAGCCACCTCTTCGTCCTCATACAGAAGGTCTTGTCCACCATCTATCGGATTCTTTCATCTTTATGAGCTGTGTTTCTGACTGTGCCTTGTGTGTTTTCAGAGCTGGGAGGTTGAGAGTGATCGTGTGAGACAGAAGCTTCTGAGTCTGATTGGACGGATCGGCAGGGAGGCTCGCTCTGAGGCGACCACAGGAAAGGTATGTGCCGTCAACAATGAAACTGTATGTGCATTTCTGACTCTCAACTAAAACTGATCTGAAAGTTGGGCTTTGGACCCGTTTAGCTGCTAATAGTTTAATGTAGAATTGTTGAAGCTGGTGAAAGTTTGAACTGTAATGTATTTTTGTTTGTTTACTGAAATAATTGGATGGCTGTCAAATAGTCATTGTCGAATAATTGGGGGACAAATAATTGCAATTAACTATTTAACGTTAAGAGGTCATTTATTTACATTAAATCATAAAATGGATGAGGAATATAAATATAAAATGTATCTGTAAACAAATACTGAATACATGAATATAATATTTAGAATATTAAAATACTTCACAATATTTAAATATTTGATTCACACTATTTTTTGAAACTCAATCCACCTAATTATTATATTAGATCATTTTAGAACACAGAGTAATTATATAATATTATTGTTGTTGTTATTTTTTTATGTTTAATGTTTCATATAAGAATTATATAATACAATCTTAATATATTCCTTTACTTTCACATGCCACTTGAAGGTGCTCTGGTTAAACTTAATTCAGGTTATTTTCTATATTTGACAGCAGATTTTAATACACTTCCTTTATATGATTTTTTTGAATATGATTTTTTTTTCTGAAATTAATACTTTTAATCCGTAACAATGCAAAACAATATATTTCAAATGCTATTTTTATAAACTTTCTTTTAATCAAAGGATCCTGAACAAAACATATTACAGTTATTAGCCAGCACAACTGTCTCTCAACATTAATAGTCATAAGAAATGTTTCTTGAGCAGCAAATCAGCATATTAGAATGATTTCTGAAGGATCATGTGACACTGAAGACTGGAGTAATCGTGCTGAAAATTCAGCTTTGCATCACAGGAGTAAATGACAAAATATATTCAAATATTTTAAATTGTAATAATATTGCACAATATTGCTTTTTTTTACTGTATTTTTAATCAAATAAATGCAGCCTTGTGATTGTGGCTTGTGATTCAGGTGTTGGAGGTATTGTGGGAGTTGGCGCATCTCCCCACCCTTCCTACCACTCTAGTACAGCAGGCCCTGGAAGAACATCTCACCATCCTCAGCGACGCATACGCTGTCAAAGAAACCATCAAGAGGAACTACATCATCAAATGCATCGAAGATATCAAGAAGGTGAGCTCATATCATAATTCCCATAATACCACAAACTCCAAAGACTATTGCATTCTTCACCTCTAGTGTATGAATGGATTTAGATAAATAACTAACATGAATATGTTTCTTTTTTATGATGTCACTATTATTTGTCGTTCTGTCATTATGGTCTGGCTTGCTTCTGGTGGTCTAAATTGGAGTGAGGGTCCCTCACTCTCACGCACATCTCCTGTGCTACTCCATCTGCTTTGTGCTCCTTCCTGAAGATCCATATTCAGAAGATTATGGACCATAAACACAAAATATGCATACAGCAACGCAATGACACATTTTCGAGCTTCCTGGCTTCTCTTTCAGGCTAGAATCTGTGCAGTGGGCTATTTTAAGAGCTGATCTGGGAGTATAAAGGTGTTGTTCTGTCTCTGGCGCTAGATGTATATTTTTGGCAGTCTAGTTTCAGCTTGCCTCATCTCACACACACACAGACATTCACTTTGCTCAATCTTTGCGCTTCAGCCTCTGGTGTGATTTGGGTGCAGCGTCTGCCGCATAAACTCTTAGTGGCGCTCACTGAATACAACTCAAGTTTATGTCTTTAGATGCAAATACAGGAGGATTCAAAGTCTCCCAGCGAGACACAGGTCTCTTTTCTTACTGGCACCTGGGGCAAGAAGAAACCGAGCTCATTGGCTAAAGTAAGAGAAGACCCACCCCTTTAGTTTAACACTGACCAATCATAACTCGGCCTGAATCTTACATGAACAGAATTTGATTTGCAAACTGATGATTGCCAGATTTGCCACTTGATTCACGGGGAAGGACTGTTAAGATATGTGTGATTTACAAAGGGCACTTCTGAGGGTTTGATCTTCACGTCCAAATATCAACTAATGACTTTTTGACTATTGACTTCAATCTGTTGTGGACTATTTAAGACTCTAACCAAAACCTGGGTTGTTTGATGGGTCAATGGTGTAATGATAATTTCTTTGATCTGTTAATTAAAAACAAATAAATCAATAAATAAAAATGTGGGTCACACATACAGTGGGTACGGAAAGTATTCAGACCCCCTTAAATTTTTCACTCTATGTTATATTGCAGCCATTTGCTAAAATCATTTAAGTTCATTTTTTTTCCTCATTAATGTACACACAGCACCCCATATTGACAGAAAAACACAGAATCGTTGACATTTTTGCAGATTTATTAAAAAAGAAAAACTAGGGGGTCTGAATACTTTCCGTACCCACTGTATAATAACTTGAATTTGCCTCTTTCTGAATTAGAAGGCATTTTTGGGGGGCATATAAAGTAAAAAATGTCAGGGAGATACAACTGTCCTAATATCACAAGAAAGAAAAAAAGCCTCATTAAAAGAAGATGTGGTGGTGCAACCAACATAAAGAAAAAAATGTTTCAAAATGAAATATAGAGAGGACCCCAGACCCTCAGGACTTAAGGTCAATAAGTCTCTCAAAATATATGATAATTTGACCATTTTATGACAAGACAAGGTTAGTTCCGATTGTAAAATGTCATGTGGTGTGACTCCTCAAAAACTTAAATTTATAATTCAGTACATTTTTTAAATTTGGAACGTTTTAAAAACTTTTTTTTTTTACTTTTAGTTTATTATCTTATTATTATTGTTATATTTTATTAGTATTTTTTTTTTTACTTGATGGTTATACCACATGACCTTTTTAGAGTCATTACATTGAATGGAATTTGTGGGCATACTTATACGCCATTGACCCAGATGGAGATTACTGTATTCCATGAATGCACAGTGTGTTATGGTTGATGTCACTGTGTGTTTATATCTGTGTGTTTGTGCTTGTATTGTAGTCGTCTCAGCAGACTAACCCTCAGATGGTGTGGGTGGTTCCAGCCTTGCGGCAGCTTCATGAGATTACACGGTCTTTTATCAAACAGACCTACCAGAAACAGGACAAGGTAGGTGCAGACGGTGTCCAGACGGACCATCTGGCCTGTTAATTTTTTTCCTGCAAGTGGTGCTACTTAAATTATAAGCCTAATTTTTCATGCTTTTAAATGGCTTTGGATTATACTTTGTCGTATCCTCTAGAGTATAATCCAGGACCTGAAGAAGAACTTTGAGATAGTGAAGCTGATCACAGGCTCTCTGGTGTCATGTCATCGCTTGGCCGTGTCTGTCGCTGGATCCAATGGTCTTTCTGGGTCCACACTGGTTGATGGCCGGTACTCCTATCAGGAGGTGTGTTGTCACAAGTTCAATATCTCTTCAATAACAGTTATTAAGGTGTGAAAAAAGCTGAATTTCAAATAATGTGGAACAGTGCAAATCTTAGTTTTATTAGATAAAATATTTGATTATTATTTAAAAAAAAAAACTACTATGAACCTTGACATTATAATAATAATAAAATATTATTTTCATTTATTTTCCTTTTTTTTCTTACAGCGGTTCACAAACATGTAGCAAATAAAATATGCATTATTTTAGTCATCTACAACATATTACATAGGTTTTGTTGTTAATTGTGTTATCGTTCCAAAAAGGCGGTCGAGTTTCTAGTTAAGTAAGATAGTGTAAACAAAGTCTATTCATTTCCTCTGGTTTAAAGATGAATCAAATTGTTGTTTGACCCAAAAATTAGCACAGGACAAAAATATATTTGTAGACTACAGAAGTGATTCATGTTATGCCTCACATTTGGTAATAATGAAAACAGAGTGGTTGTTTTTTATTTATCTATCTGATGTTGTTGTTGTTGTTGTTGTCACATTTTTTCCAGTATTTGGAGAGTCACTTGAAGTTCCTTGCATTCTTCCTGCAAGAGGCCAGTCTGTACCTGGTCTGGAATAGAGCCAAAGAGATCTGGGAATGCTTGGTCTCTGGCATGGATGTGTGCGAGCTGGATCGAGAGGTGTCGTGTTGTTTTATGTTTTGTTTTGAGTTTGTTTTGGTTTGATTTTTATTTTATTTATTTTTTGCTTTGCTTTGCTTGTTTGTTTTGTCTTTTTTGCTTGTTATTTGTTTTATTTTGTTTTGTTTGTTTTGGTGTTTTGTTTGTTTGTTTCAATTTTAATCATGCTGTTTAATCATGGTGCTTGAAAAGAAAAGCATCAGATTAAAGACTAAATGGCATTTTGTTATTTGTTATATTCACTAACTTGTTAAATATAGTATGTTTAATGACTTTTCAGTTCTGTGGTGTAGAAATTGGTGTTGCAAATACTCAAAAAAATGCTGAGATTTTGGCATTGCGACAAACTATGTAGTAGTTTTGATGGTGTTCAACTCTGCTCTAGATGTGTTTCGAATGGTTCACTAAGGGACAGCATGATCTAGAGAGTGATGTTCAACAGCAGCTCTTTAAAGAGAAGATCCTCAAGCTGGAGCCTTATGAGATCACTATGAACGGTAAAAGTTCAACCACAGAGTTCACTCAGTGCTTCCACAGTATTTCCACATTATAACACCCTGAGGTATTACATGTCTTCTGTACATCTGCAGGAAACCACTGCGCTTACTGTGCTAAATTTACCCTCACAGAAAGAAATGGCCTCATTAGCAGCATGTGGTGAAGTTGCATAAAGTGGGACTATGAGTGTGTGAGTTTTCTGTGGTCTTTCATCAATGTTTTACAGGGTTTAACCTCTTCAAGACCTTCTTTGAGAATGTGAACCTCAGTGACCACCGTCTCAAACGGCAGGGAACACAACTGGTATGAGATTCCAGCTTTTCCTCAGTGAAATTGGTGGGGAAATCCCGTCTTGACAGGTGAAAAAATATGATTGTCTCTCTCAGTGCGTGGAGCGATTGGATCTGGCTGGGATGGACTTCATCTGGAGGATCGCGATGGAATCTCCAGATGAGGACATCGCTAATGAAGCCATACATCTCATCATTACTTACAGCTACATTAACCTCAACCCCAAAATGAAGAAGGTGAACAATAAAAGTTTAATTTTTTTGTGTGAGACTTGCCATTTCAGTTTATATATCATTTCTCTGTTAATCAATATTTTCTTTGTTTCTTTGTGTATTTTTTATAGGACTCAGTATCTCTACATAAGAAATTCATTGCTGACTGCTATAAGAGATTGGAGGTGAGTGTTACAGTGCGAAATGACACTTTTTTTTTTTTTTCTTCTTTGTGATGATGATTGTGATAAAGCTCATCCCTACATCACACACAGGCTGCTAGCTCTGCGCTGGGCGGCCCGACCCTCACACATGCTGTTACCCGGGCAACCAAGATGCTGACAGCCACTGCTATGCCAACGGTCGCCACATCAGTTCAATCTCCATCCAGGTATGAGGACTAGTTTTGAGGCTAGTTGAGCAGCTTTCAGATCAGCTGATGAGATCCAGCTGATGTTGTTGGCTGCATGTCTTAAAATAATTAAAGCACTTATACACAACTTTTATTAAACTTACAAAATTTGGCAAAACAAGCAGAAAAGTACCAAAGCTAGAGCAGAAGTTCTGTTCCAGTCTGTACAGTAATTAACTTGTATCACTACTGCTTGTTTGTTTGTTTTTTAGTTTTTTTTGCATTGATTTTTGTTTTGATTTTGTCTTGTTTTTTGTTTTGTTTTGATTTGATTTGTTGTGTTGTTTTTTTGTTGTATTGATTTTTGGTTTTGTCTTCTGTTTTTTATTTATTTCTGTTTTCAGTTTTGTTTTGTTGTGTTGTGTTTTTTGGTTTTCATTTTTTTTGTGCTCAGTTGTTTTGTTTTGTTGTTTTGTTTTGTTTTGTTTGGTTTTGAACAACGCATATCCCACATTTAATACCTTGTCATTTACATTTACATTTAGTCATTTAGCAGACGCTTTTATCCAAAGCGACTTACAAATGAGGACAATGGAAGCAATCAAAATCAACAAAAGAGCAATGATATACAAGTGCTATAACAAGTCTCAGTTAGCTTAACGCAGTACACGTAGCAAGGTTTTTAAAAATAATATAATAAATAAAAAGAAAACGGATAGAATAGAAAAAGAATATAGCAAGCTAGTGCTAGAGGTCATTTTGCTTTTATTAATTGTATAATAAATTAAAAGAAAACAGATAGAAAGCAAGTGTTAGTTTTTTTTTTTTTTTAAAGAATAGAATTAGAATAGAGAGTGCTAGAGTTAAGAGATAAAGATGTTGAATGACCACTTCTGAAACCAGACTGGTTGCTGTCGAGGAGGTTGTTCTGTGTGAGAAAGGCAGAGACTTGGTTGAACACAGGTCGTTCAAGTGTTTTTGCAATGAAAGGAAGAAGGGAAACTGGTCTGTAGTTCTCTAAAAGAGATGGGTTAAGGGTGAGTTTCTTAAGTAGTGGGGTTATACGAGCCTGTCTAAATGTTGAGGGAAAAACACCAGTGTGAAGGGATATGTTAATGATGTGAATGAGCGGAGGTACAACTGCAGGAGAAATGGCTTGAAGGAGATGAGATGGAATAGGATCAAGCGGACAAGTAGTAGGATGATTAGAAAGGATGAGTTTGGAGACTTCTGCCTCAGAGAGTGAAGAGAAGGATGTGAATGAGTGTATGTTTGCTGGTAAGATGTGCTTGACAGATTGTGGTATGGAAAATTGTGCACTGATGTTTTTAATTTAATGAATGAAAAACGTGGCAAAGTCATCAGCTATTAGAGTTGATTCAAGAGGGGGAGGAGGAGGACAAAGGAGCGAGGAAAATGTTTTATTCATTTAGTCACATCAGACTTAGTGTTTTTACATATTTGAATGTTTTTATTTTATTTTTGTTTTATTCATTTAGTCACATCAGACTTGGTGTTATGCAACATTAAAGTCTTAATTGATCTGAAGGTTGTTCAGAAAGATTTTAATATCTTTTAATATCAAGGTTGACATGAAATTTAACCCACTGAAGTTCATTACCACCTCTGTCCTCAGGTCCAGTAAACTAGTTATCATTGAGAGACTTCTGTTATTGGCGGAGCGTTATGTCATAACAATAGAGGTAAGAGCTGATACACATACACACGTTACACACTGCTTTGCGTATCTGAGCGCAAAACTTTATTTGTTCAAATTAATCTTGTGTTCAACCTCTTATGACTATTGCACTAATACTTATACTTAATACTCATATCTTTTTAAAAAGGCTTATGGGCTGGAGTAACTGCTGTATATAGTTTTATTGTGTGTATATTTAGTGTTGTGTATTATTTCTGTCACCTTTTTATTGTAAATTTGTTATGGTTATTGGCTTAATTCTACTTCTCTGTGCAGTACTTTGGTCGGCTCTGTCGTTTTTAAATGTGCTATATAAATAAATTAAACTGAAACTGAAACTTATCTTAAATGACTTAGTTTATCTCTGTTTGAAAGCATCAGTCAGTCTCAGCGAAGAAACCAGCAAGCTGTAAAAGTCAAATGTAGCAACATCACTGAACGACAGACTTTACTAATTAATTCTCTTATTGTGTTAGATAGTTGTCAGACTCGCAGCTGTGGAATGATGAAGTCTGATCATTGGTTGACTGCAGCATTCACCGTCTCCCCATTTCTCCAGCTGTTCAGTTCCATGCTGAAATCTGGCACAGATTCTGTCATGCCATTTAGTGCATTTAGGAGTAATCATGCCAGAACACAGCGAAAGGAATCCGATACGGTGTTAATTCCTGTGTGTATTCAGAAAGACGTTTTCATACCCGTTCCCTCTAACAGACACTAATTGGTCTGTTATTGACAGACATTTGGTGCAGGAAGTGCTTTTGGACTGTAGTACTTTTGTCTAATCAACGAATTTGAGTAAATCATGTAATATGAAGCTCAGTAGCTTATTGCTGGCAATTATTACCCTATTCATTGAAATGCTGATTCATAGAAAACTGATTTGAAATTGCAGGTTTATTGCTGAAAGATATGCAGGAGCTCATCTAATATTACAATTACATTAGGAAAATGGTTCAATTGCTTGTTAGTAAGCAAGAAAAATGGATTCTAGAGATTCATATATTATAGATTCATAAATTATATATATATATATATATATATTCAAATATATATTTTATATTTTAATAATAATGGGCTTGGTGAGATTTTTAAGTTGTTCTGAAAGAAGTCTCATGCTCACCATAAGACTACATTAATTTGATGGGGGGGAAAAAAACAGCAAAAACATCAATATTGTAAAATATTATTACAAATTAAAATAACTGCTTTCTATTCTAATATATTTTAGAATGTAATTTATTCGTGTGATGGCAAAGCTGAATTTTCAGCATCTTTACTCCAGTCTTCAGTGTCACATGGTCCTTCAGAAATCACTACCTGTATTGTGTACAGTATTTGAATAACTCTTATAATATCTAAAAAACTGAATTTTTATGACAGCCAACATTTAAGTGATTGTATCTCCACATTGTTTTGAAATGGAAAATGAGTTTCCAGGTCAAAGCAACTCAACAGCAGGTCACATGGTACTGACTGTTGTACCGCTGGATCTGTTTCAGGACCTGTATTCTGTTCCTCGAACTATTCTACCTCATGGAGCGTCTTTCCACGGCCATCCTGTTACACTTCACATCACATACGAATCTACCAAAGACACATTCACCTTGGAGGTAACGTCACACACACACACACTTCTTGGAGACAAAACCCATTTAGTTCTGGCACTCACGACACAAATGCACACACTTATGACAGACTGTAAGCAGGGTTGATATAAATGGAATTTGATAAACATTTCCCCTATTTGGAGAATAGAGAAACATTGATAGATGGCAGGTGAACGTTCAGCGTGAGAAACCGAATGTGATATTCACAAACAACGGTCTGTTGGGTGATCGTTCATTCTGTAGACTCAACTGACTGGTATTTGCTTTGCCTAATTTGAATAGATGGATCAATACAGCCCTTATGTGTTTGTGTTCATGTGAATGTGTGCAGGCCCACAGCAACGAGACCATAGGCAGCATCAGATGGAAGATAGCCGAGCAGCTCAGCTGTCCGGTGGACAATGTGCAGATATTTGCCAATGACAGCATGGTGAGTCAAACACTAAATGTGATGTGTTGCAGTCATATCTGAGCGGTGCACAGGAGCCAAACACTCCTACAGCACTGTGAGAGAATGTGGCAGCTATTATGACCGCATGTCGAGCCTAGGCTACACAATCATGGGGAAGACTGCTGATCTGACAGTTGTCCAGAAGACAATCATTGACACCCTTCACAAG